TAGTTACATTAGACCACGAGTTGTGCATGACTCGTCAATGATTCGCGCTAAAGGTCATCCGAAGGATACACGATTGAGAAATGAAATGGATGAAGGTCCTAGAGGTAGTGTGAGATGCGGTTTATGTAAGCAAACATGACATAATAGGGTCACATGTGCTAGAAGATAACAAAGGCATGTAGGGAGTTCCACTTGGTAATGTTGTTGTTTTATTGAATAACGCATTAGCAATATTAAAAATAAATAAATTTTATTGCAAAAAAATTAAAATAACCAATACATATACTACGATTACAACGCCAATGCAGGTATCGGTGGAGCCAGGATCGATTGATCATTCAGTCCTGACATTGCAGGCCACACACATAGGTGTCATGAGCACCTACACACTGGCCTATCTTGAGCCTCACTGGCCCAAGGGAAGGCGCGACCATGAATTTGGAAAAGTAGCGGGGCATGATATAATTGAATAAAGATAAAACATCGCAATGATTTTTAGATTTTTCAAAAAATATCTCAAGTCTTGACGCTTCCTATTGAGCATATTGTAAAATCCAAGCACGCGGGCATGGAGACAGAGGCGACGCCACGGCATGGAGACGGTCATGGCAAGCAGACATGAAGACGGCGGTGACGACTGCAGGTAGGCGGTAGGCATGGGAATGGTCGCGGTGCCGCGACATGGGGACGATAGCGGCAATCAGACATGGAGGAAGTATGTGTTTATAAATGCTCAATATTTTATTGGGAAGTTTTCTGAGACATGACTAAAACATATTGAGTTGCCTTAAATATGACTAACTATGAATATGACTAAATATGACATTCGTATGACTGAAAAGCAAAAAAAAACAAAACTCAAATACAATGTCTATGACAGGAATAAATGACTGACTGCTTGAACAAGTCTTTTTAAACGTAGTTCAAGACTTAAAAACATCACGATAATTTTTAGATTTTTTGAAAAATATCTCAAGTCTTGTCGCTTCCTTTTGAGCACATTGTAAAATCTAAGCATGCGGGCATGGAGACGGAGGCGATGCCGCAGCATGGGGACGCCCGCAGCAAGCAGACTTGAAGACGGTAGTGACGACTGCGGGTAGGCGGTAGGCATGGCCGCGGTGCCGCGACATGGGACGATAGCGACAAGCAGACATGGAGATCGTGGTGGCGGTGATTAGGCGTGTATGCATAGGACTGCCGCGGTGCAGCGACATGGGAGGTGGCAGCTACAGGTGCTGCGGCGGCGTGGGCCGCAACGACGGGCTAATGGCTAGTTTTTTAGAAATGTGTACAAAGTTAGAGTTTTACAATATTACGAAATTTAAATATTGTTTTGGGAAATAAATTAATGAGGTCATAGATTGAAAAAGTGGATGAGTTTTAGTTATACCTAGGATAATTAATTTGTTTACACAAACAATTAATTTTAAAAAGACAAAAAAAAAGAACAATTGAAACTGCCTATCTAGACACGTAAACTGGCGTGTAAAAGGATATATACGCAATAACTTTTTTTGTTTTACTAGTAAGCCCATAACCTTCACATTGCATATTAATAAGAGATAAAGGATAGAGATACATTCCAAAAAAGAAGTAAAAAATCATAAAATGAAAAACATAGGAATTGATATTTAAAATTTCCTAGATATGAGTTTCTTATTATGATTGGACCAAATATACGCCTGAGAAATGCTATATGTACACAACATTCTACACATCATTCTACACATCATAAAAAAGCCCCACCCCCTCCCTTTTCTAACCCATTTAACCCCCCACCCCTAATTTGAATCCTGTCACGTGCGCCTCCCACCCCCTTTCTTCTCTTTCCCGCATCCCACTCTCCCTCTTCTCTTTCCCGCATCCCACTCCTCTCCCTCCTCTCCCTCGCTCCGGCTTCTCCGAGAAACGGCTTCAACCCACTCCTCTCCCTCCTCTCCCTCGCTCCGGCTTCTCCGAGAAACGGCTTCAACCCACTCCTCTCCCTCCATCGACAGAAGCACGGCGCTCCCCCTCTCAACCCTACCGAAGTCCGTTGCTACTTCCACCCTCGCTCCGGTGTCTCCGAGCATCTGCGAAAGTGAGACGGTCCACTTGAGGAAATGGTTCGCAGTTCCCTTACAGAAATGGCTCAAAGGTATTTTTTTCTAACCTTGTTTTGAGTTAATTTCTCACTTAATTTTTCCCTAATTTTTTTTTGGGGGCCAGCACTTGTATTTTTGAGTTTATGTTTGTTCTTGGCTGTTTTTCGGTGGACTATTGACATGCATGAATTATTTTGAAGTTTATTTGTTGTTCTTGGTATTATGTGCTTGATTTGTACCATTTTGTAGTGTATATTGTGTTTTTTGTTTGGAGTAAAACCGTATTTTCTCATGTTTTGATTTTGACAGTGTTTGGAGTTAGCTCTTTATTCCATTTTTTCAGATGTTACCTGTTCAGTGTGTTCATATGTTTGCGGTTTTTCAGATGTCTGTGTAGTGTGTTCTTAAATGTTGTTGTCATTTGTAAGATGTCTGTGTAGTGTGGTCTTACACGCTTGCGCAGATGACAGTTGTCTTTATGGTTTTCTAGACTTGTCTGTGTAGTGTGTTCTTAAATGTTGTCATTTGTGAGATGTCTGTGTAGTGTGGTCTTAAATGTTGTCATTTGTGAGATGTCTGTGTAGTGTGGTCTTACACGCCTGCGCATATGACAGTTGTCTTTATGGTTCTCTAGAGTTGTCTGTCTAGTGTGTTCTTAAATGTTGTTGTCATTTGTGAGATGTCTGTGTAGTGTATGTCCTATGCACTTGTCTGTACACGAATTTAGAGTAGCCTGTATACCATTGTTGAGTTGTCTGTCTAGTGTGTTCTTTTACTTTAAAGCTGTCTGTGTAGGCTTGTCTGTGTAGTGTGTCTGTGTGGTAGTAAGATGTTTGAATTGTGTCATTAATGTTTTCCTTTGTTTTCCTGAGCTGAAACATAAGATGTCTAAGTCTTTAACAAATGTTTGTGTTATTATTTTTGTGTGGTAGTAAGATGTCTGTGTCCATCATTTTTGTGTGTACATAAGATGTCCAAGTGTTTAACAAATGTCTGTGTTATTATTTTCAGGATGGAATTGAAAATTCCTCTTAAAGATTACTTCCCTGCTCAGTATTCTGTAAGGTCCGCATTTCCTGAAGCACTGGAACTATTGAGCGAATGCTTGACGCTGAAACAAATGAGTATGCTTATTAAAACTCCATGGGGCCATTTGCCCGATGCTCCACCTATGCAATTTTCTGCGCAACTCATTCATTTGTTGCTGTTACGCCTTGTGCGTGACCAGCCGGAAGATGAGTTATGGTTTGCAGTCGATGGCAAGTTGCTCAAGTTCACATACCAGGACTTCAAGAGGATTAGTGGCATACATGATCCGATGGACTTCAAAAAAATAGACAACAACGCGCAAAAAAATAGACAACAACGCGCAGTGGGAGGGAGATCGCCTTCTCGTCAAAACGAATTGGTCTTCATTCGATACGGTGCGTGTATATTTACAGACGTCTTGAGGTACTAAATGTCTGCATACAAACATTAATAAACATTGTGTTTAATGCATTAGGTTTTGACACCCCTAAATGTGGGGAATTCGCATTGGGTGTTGGTTCAAATAGACCTTCGTGCAAAAATGGTGAGAGTATATGACTCCATGAGAAATGGAAGGACCGTTGCATCCATAAAGGACTTGTGGGAACGCCTCCCCCACCTCCTACGTGTTATTACGTGGAGAACGGAAGATGACGTTGCAAGTGACCTTTTTCCTTGGGAAGTTGTTGCTGTTGATGGTATCCCCCAACAGCGGGGAGGGTAAGTGTATATTAATCCGTACAGACATTTCTTACACCAATGTCTGTGTAGTGTGTATATCATATTCCTGAGATGTCTGTGTAGTGTGTATATCATATTCCAGAGATGTCTATGTAGTGTGTATATCATATTCCAGAGATGTTTGTGTAGTGTGTATATCATTTTCCTGAGATGTCTGTGTAGTGTGTATATCATATTCCAGAGATGTGTAACAGATAATGATGTCTTTTCGGCAGGGGCGAATGTGGAATGATGGTGCTCAGTTTTGCGGAGCACCTCATGTTGGAGCTCCCGTTCATACCCGGTTGCGAGTACGAGAACATGGCGACAAAGAGGTGTGAATTCGCCAATCGACTTTGGATGTTGAAGAATGATGTACAATGAAGAATTCCGTCAAGGGTGTAGTTTTTTTTGTATATGTAATTAGTACAATTACATTGGTGCATACCTTTTTTTTTACATACACACGTGCTTACATGTAGTATTTTGTACAACAATGGTGGTGCCATATTGTACAACATTGCTACAATGTGCTTCTAATTATATTTTTGTCTGTGGCGAAGCTATAGATTAGTCTGTATATTTTTGTACTGTCTGTATACAACAATTGTGTGACAGTTGTATTTTTGGCAAAGCAATGAATGGTATATTTAAGACTGCATTTTTGTGGCACTTTCCATAAAATCCATTCTCCTAATATTGTCTATGATGAGAATTAATATTTTTTCCTATTTCTCCTGAGCGCATTTTGAAATTATGGATTTCTCTATGCTGAATAATTAATATTGTCTGTATAATGGATTTGTGTGTTTACACATAGTATACTATGTCTGTTTTTGTGGATATATTGTCTGTGTAAGACGTTTGCAACAAATAGGGAAAAAAAAATATAATGTTGACTACACCGATAAAAAATACATAACATTCAAATGTATTTAAAATAAGTATATGTCTCAAAACAGAGAGAGATTTAAATCTAAACCGTCTTGATATTGTAGTGTCATACTATTGTTGACTGCAACATAATCATATTGACCATGGTACCCCTCTCCAACGTAGCCCTCTCCAGTGTACGGCTGTCCCGCGAACCCCTCTCTAGTGTACGGTTGTCCCGCGAACCCCTCTCTAGTGTACGGCTGTCCCACGAACCCCTCCCCAGCGTCCTCCTGTTCGGCAATGTCCTTTGTGGATCTTTGTTTTTTAGCACTTGGCTGGGAAAACAATGAATCACATGTACGATATTAATGTCTGTGCGTATCTGTACAATGTCTGTGCAAGCATAAATAATGTCTGTATAATAACATTTAAAGTGCAGGGCAGCATACCTTTGACTTGGATTTTCCCTTTTCCAGAGGCCCCTTCAAACGATTTCTCTTGGGTGCGCCTTTCCGTTTTGCTGACTTTGGATTCTTAATTTGTTGTGGTACTTCCGCATGCACAGCACTATCCGGTACCGGTAACGGTGTCAACACACCACATATAGACGAATGACTAGGAGGAGCGGGTTTATGTAGTTCCAATTGCCGTTCAAGCCACATCATAACGCTCTTGCATTTTTCCGGATCATCGGCAATGGTGTTTGCAAGGGTCTCAAATGTTGTACACAATCTATCAAACCTTTCTTGTTCCACCGTAGTTATCCACCCGTCGTAGTTGATCTTCACTCGAGTGTAAGCTCTTTTGATGTCTCGCCGCCACCTTGGTAGTATGTAACAATCAGGCAACACTTTGACTTGATATCTTAGTGCCACCATAAGAAAATGTCTACACAAAATGCCTCGAAACTCGAACAAGTGGCAACTACACATTCCTTTAGATGTAGAAACATCATACTCAACAATGAAGGTCCAACTCTTATCAAACCCATTGATGACACGATTCTCTTTGATTTCATATGTCTTACCATCCATCATAGGTATGACATAACAATACAATTGATCAACTAATTGGGTTTGAAACTCTTTGAACTTGGCTATGGTGTAAACACGTTGCACTTGTTTTTCAATTGCAAACGACGTAACACATGGAATCATTTTAGTCAAAGAAAGGCCATCGGCTTGAAATTCGTTTTCAACCTTCTTTCTCATAGCGCGCCCATATTGATCCACAAACTCTTTCAGACTAGTTTTAGAATGAACATACTCACCAAAGAAGGCGTTCAGGCTTTCACTTCGTTGAGTGGTTGACATACCTGCCCAAAAATACTGTTTCAAGTAACACGGGACCCAACGATGACGTTCGTTGTACATCACAACCAGCCATTCGTCATGGTGAAGAGAAAACCTTAAAACAAAGACAATAGTGAGACATACAGAATATACATGTCTGTGCGGTGTAAAAATTACAATATTCGACAGACGATATACTACATATACAGACAATATATTCTGCCAATAACATAAATTACTATGAAACTCTTCATATGGTGAAAAGAAAACACAGACAATAGTGACACATACACAATAATAAATGTCCGTAAGGGGTAAACATTATAATATTGTACAGACAATATACTTGATATACAGACAATATAAAAAAATACGACATGCCAATAACATAAATTAGTAAGAAATCGACATAGTGAAGATCATACCTTTGGAGCATAGCTTCCCAGCCTGCCTCAAACTCTGTATGGTGCTGTGAATCATAAACTAGGTCGTGAATGTTGAACATGATTTGATCTTTGTCCGCAAACCCGCCCACTTTTTCGGGTAACTTCTTCATGATATGCCACAAGCACCAACGGTGCCTCGTTTCTGGGAATACAATTTGAATTGCATTTTGCATAGCCCGGTCTTGATCGGTTATAATTGCATTTGGAGCACAACCCTCCATGCAATCAAGCCAAGCTTTAAAGAGCCAAACAAAAGTGTGTGTATCTTCATTTGAGATTAAGCCACATCCAAATAATATAGTTTCACCATGATGATTCACACCCACAAATGGTGCAAATGGCATGTCGTATCGATTCGTTAGATAGGTTGTGTCAAACGTGATGACATCTCCAAAACTTTTGTAAGCATATCTACTTCTATTATCCGCCCAAAACACATTTCTCAAGCGTGAGTCATCATCTAAATCAACACTAAAGAAGAAACCGGGACATTGTGCTTGCATTTTTGAAAAAAAAGCTTGTATAGCCATGGCATCACCACTTCCTAGCCTAAGTTCCCTAATTTTTCCAATATAATTCCTACAATCCTTTTCTATAAAAGGTAGGGCATCATACCCCCCCGCTTCAACAACAACGGAGTTAAAGCTCTTGTTAAGTGGAATTCCCGCAACTTCATTTATCGCAAGATGTCTCATCGCTTTTGATGTCAACTTCCTATAGCAACGAAATAATCTAGATTTTGTGGGACTCATGGGGTGATTATGTTCTAAAAACACTTGTGAAATTTCCCATGACCCAACATAAGTAGTGCGTGCTCTAATTCTTGCGGTACAAGATGTTTGCATTGAAGCTTGAGGTTTCAAACAGTTTAGTGTCTTGCTACCTCTACTTCCCGCCCGTGAACACTATCACTATTGACACTACAGCACCCTTGGATCTATCCTTAGTAGATGTTCTTTTTCTAATCGGGAATCCTACACTCCTACCATATTTTTTGTAAAACTCATACACCGCGTCTGTGCTTGCAAACTTCATGCCCACTTTCGGAACAACCACACTAACATCTTCTTGCTCTTCTTCCTGTGCATATGCATCTGTGAATTCATACACAGACTAATGAATATGTATACATAGACTAATTTATATAAATACAGACATTATTCATCAATACTATACAGACAAATGAATAAAAGATTATAGAATGCAGACAGTATCAAATGAAATACAGACAAGTTCAAATAATGATCAAAGAAATTACAACATATGAATAAAATATGATAGAATGCAGACAGTATGAAATGAAATACTGGACAAGTTCAAATAATGATCAAAGAAATTACAAGAACATATGAATGAAATATTATAGAATGCAGACAGTATGAAATGAAATACAGACAAGTTCAAATAATGATCAAAGAAATTACAAGAACATATGAATAAAATATTATAGCATGCAGACAGTATGAAATGAAATACAGACAAGTTCAAATAATGATCAAAGAAATTACAAGAACATATGAATAAAATATTATAGAATGCAGACAGTATGAAATGAAATACAGACAAGTTCAAATAATGATCAACCATATTACAAGAACATATGAATAAAATATTATACAATGCAGACAGTATGAAATGAAATACAGACAAGTTCAAATAATGATCAAAGAAATTACAAGAACATATGAATAAAATATTATACAATGCAGACAGTATGAAATGAAATACAGACAAGTTCAAATAATGATCAAAGAAATTACAAGAACATATGAATAAAATATTATACAATGCAGACAGTATGAAATGAAATACAGACAAGTTTAATTAATGATCAAACAAATTACAAGAACATATGAATAAAATATTATAGAATGCAGACAGTATGAAATGAAATACAGACAAGTTCAAATAATGATCAAACAAATTACAAGAATAAATGAATAAAATATTATACAATGCAGACAGTATCAAATGAAATACAGACCAGTTCAAATAATGATCAAACAAATTACAAGAACGTATGAATAAAATAATATTAAATAGAGACGTTATAAAATGAAATACAGACAAACCAAATAGTATTATAATGACATTCTAAAAACGCTCTACGTATTATACTCACATTCTAAAAGAAGACTATGAACTTCATAATGTTCCCAAATTCAATAATACATTTGTAATTGTCTACATACAAAAACAGACAATATTATTTGTCTATGCTTTGTGAACCATGAAGAAAGGACACTACATAATCACCTACTATACCTTGCTCAGCCTTCACAGTGTTACCATCCGGTGCCCCTTCATCGCGTTGCATAGCAGCCAGAGTGTCTTCAACTCCTTCCCTCCGTCGTATATTCTCCGTCGTGTCTTCATCATCTTGCATCCCTCCCTCCAGCGATACTGCACGCTCTTCCAGCACCTCAGGCGTGTTAGCGGGACTCGGGCCGAATATATCCTCCCATGTCCACCCCAGGCCCGCTTCGTCGTCGCCGTCGTGTCTGTTAGCTTCCATGGCGTTCGTCGTCGCCGCCATACACACTCGATCACCACCGATGACGGAGGAGACCACCAGTGTAGAGAAGGAAGAGCTCACAGATAAACGAAAATAATGGCACAGACAGTTCGTTTGATGCGCAGAGGCCTACGTTTGAAATAGAGGAGAGAGGGTGGTGGGGGGTTAAATGGGTTAGAAAAGGGAGGGGGTGGGGCTTTTTTATGATGTGTAGAATGATGTGTAGAATGCTGTGTACATATAGCATTTCTCATATACGCCTAGCCTACATGGGTTGGGGCTAGCCACTAGCCTGTCAGAGCCGACAGCAAGCCGCCAAACTACCACTGCCACCACACGGCCGCCACCGATCACCCCCATAAGGTTGTTGCCATCACCAAATTGCCCTGGTTGTGCTAAGAGAATTAGTGGCAATTAATTATATTAAGGGAAAAGGGTAATATTTTGTCCTACTACCTCTGTCCCAATTTATTTTGCAAAGTCAACATTTTTTGGTTAATCAATGTTAAAGTTAAATCCTCCCTATTGATAAATATTTAATTTTAACAATTAAAATTTGGGAAAAATAATTAAAATACCCCAAACTTTGAAAGAGTGTGAGGTAAACACCTCAAACTTGCATATGTAATTTAAATACCATAATCTTTATATAAAAAGTTATTTTATCACCATGGTCATGTATTATTTCTTTCAAAACAGTTAATTTTCTGTGTTAATTTCATAATTTAAAATATTTTAGCATTCATGAAGATACAATTAACATTCCTAAACTTCCATTGTAAAATACTCCGTAAATAATACTACCCTCGCTCTATATGATTGCAGAGTTTTTAATTTGCTATTTTAATATATGCAATTAACACCATAATTTACGATTTTGAAAGAAATAATATATGATCATGATGCTAAAATAACTTGGGAAAATGGAAACTAATAATCCAACCTTTTAGCGGTTTTCTTTTAATAGTCTCACCTTTTCGTTATTCATGAATAATCTAACCTTTGCACCTCATCTTCATTCACTGGTCCCTGACCGGTTGATGACCTGCTATTCCAAGTTATTTTCTTATCTTTGCAAAATATTATCTTTGTGAAAGGTGGAATTTATGGTATAATAGTTTGCAGAGATAAGAAAATAACTCGGAATAGCAGGTCATCAACCGGTCGGGGACCAATGAATGAAGATGAGATGCAAAGGTTGGATTATTCATGAATAATGAAAAGGTCGGACTATTAAAAGAAGACCGCTAAAAGGTTGGATTATTAGTTTCCATTTTTTCAAATAACTTTTTATATAAAGTTTAGAGTATTTAATTACATACGAAAGTTTGAGGTGTTTATCTCACACCCCTTTAAAGTTTGAAATATTTTAATTATTTTTCTCTTAAAATTTACATATTCAGAAACTACACTAAAATCTCCATAAAATAGAAACATCCAAATTAAATTTAATTAAGAATTGATATCCTAAATAAGTGATTAAAATGAAACTATTTAATAAAAAAATCAAACTTGCCCAATCAATTTGGGACAAAGGGGATACCTATTTAGGGAATATGAAACATGGACACCTATTTAGAATAATTACAGAGGTATTGGTTTAACAAATGACTAGCATAAGTTTCCGAAGTAAAAATAAATTCGTGTTCAACTGAGGGAACATAAACCTGCAACAATATTACGAGTTTTCCTTATATCTATGGAGTAAAGTACACGATGGGGTAAGTTCAAGGCTTCACCCACCCTAAGCTCTAGTTTGCTGGGAGGATTTTGGAGAAGAGAAAACAAGAGTAGGAACAATTTTTACTTTATACATAGATTTTATAGTTAAATTCTTGAAAAACGAAGGTAGAAGATCTGCAGAAATATTGTTATTTTTCGTCTATGTAAAGATAAATTATTGCAAAGTAAATAGTAATCCTCTATTTATCATTCCTCCGAAAACCTAACCAAACCCACCCTTAAGTAGCTGGTCCCTCCTGCTAAATCATTTGTCCAAACACTTTTAACAATATTTGCAATGCTTTTTAGAGTGTCCATTGAAGAAAGTATCACAAATTCTGCTAGAAAGCATCACCATCTGACTGATTTTTTTGTCAAGCAAATTATTCTGTCTATACAGATTATAATACATTTGTCTCGAGGTTAAAAGATAACCCCAAAAGAAAATGTTAAAAGGAAAGAAAAACTATAAATCAGCGAAAACATGGTACGTATTAGAGTCGACTACAATCAACCTTATAGCAGCAACAAAAGCAGCAGCAGATAAGCAACCAAAGAAGACAACATTCAACCAATGCCAGCTCTTCTCCAAGGAAGATAGCCGGCTTCTTTTAGCAACCATGTACATGTGGTTTGCGAGAATGAATGTGATGGGGCACACACTGATGGCCCCGGTAAGGCTCATGAAGTCCCCGAGGAAAGGCAGTAGAGATGCAAGGAATGTGGTGAGGACTAAATAGCCGCCTCTGACCAAAGTTCTGAATCCCAGGTTGCGCGGCATGAACGCACTTCCTTTCATCCCATACTTTGTGTCCAAATATTCGTACGTCGGGCTTGCAAATATCTATAGTGGATGCATGTAAAGCAGTGATGAGTTAACATGTGTGAGATCCTGTTTGCAAAATATGGCATTTACTTTAAATTTATTAAGTATATTTTTGAAAGCCTAAAAGAAAATAGGCGAAATTGACACTTTTTTTTTAACCGGCGAAATTGACACTAATAATCCATAATATTAGTATATTACACGCTTTACAAAAATAATCCCGACTGATAAATTTCTGAAAAGTAATCCCTACTAGTTAATTGTTTCACAGAAATAATACGAGTGCTAACTGTGTTAAATTTTACATTTTTTTTTAATTTTTAATATATCAAAGAAAAAAATATGTATAAAAATTAATAATATTATATTTGCGTTTATCTTTTTCTACGATAAATTTAAAATAATATTTAATATTTTTCATAAAATATAATAGAAATATACGTATTAAATATTCAATATTCTACATAGTTTGTATTAATATGTAATGTAGTATTACTAAAACTAATTTGAAATATTTATTATAATGAATAACAAAAATGAATGTAAAAAGTATCAATAAAGAATAAAAGAGAATATAGAATTTTAAGAGTATGTACTATGTAGTATTCAAATATTTCTATTAGGTTTTAAGAAAAAAAAAATTGAATATTAAATAAAAAATGAAGGCATGATTTATTGCTATTATCTAGTGCAGAGTTTGGTGGACTTGATTATGCAAAAACCAATTAGGATGCATATGTATATATATAATAAATAAAGGAAATCATGCTCCTCTGCCTTTTACATTGTACAGTTGTGGATAGTTAGGGAGATAAGATGAAAAAGTAAAATTAGTAAGAAAAATATGAAAAAGAAGATGAAAAGGTAAGAGAGTACTTGTTTAGTAAAATAAAACTTGGCATATTAGAGGTTGAACAAATAATAAAATACTTCCCGAAAGCAAATATAAAGTAAATAATAATAGCATAAGAAGTATCTAAAAATAAGGATAAAAGTGTCATTTTTTTCCAGCCAAAGCAGTAATCAGTGTAACACTGCTTTATATTACAGCCAATTCAGCCGCCATTGTGATTCGTTTGGTATCCTCAGTAGTCTTTGACTTGCTTATTTTGTTAAAATGGATATCAGCACACATTTCCTTTAGCAATTTCAGTCATTTCAACTCAATAACTCTTTCCAAACAGGCCCTAATTTAGATGTTGGTATAGAATTTGGTTGATAAACATAAAATTCTTCTACCAAACAGGCACTCATGTAAGAAGATAGAGATATATCTAAAAAAGATAGAGCAAAAAAACTGCAAAATAACTAAGTAGACATGGTCACACTTACATGCATAGAGATGATAGCTTGCAAGAAAGCACACATGTTAGCAAATGCCATTAACCAAACAGGGCCGTGGACGTTATTGAGCAAATAGGACGATGAGCTGGATCCATAAGCCCAATACCCCATGAATGTAACAGCAAGCATTGGCATCACTCCTACTGTGAACTGAAAGGAAAGTGCTTTGATCATGTTCTTCACCGCAGGTTCTTTAACAGTAGCCTGTCATCTCTGCAAAAGTTAGTAATAATAGTACTCCCTCCGTCTTGCTAACAATGGGACAAGAGGAAGTGACACGTAAACTAATAAAAAGTGATTTATGTGGTTGATATTGAATTGATAAAGTAAGAATAAAGTAAGAATGATTTAGACCCACACAAACTTTGTCAAATTTGGTATGGGACAATCTTAGTGGGACGGAACGAAATGGTAAAACGGGACAATCTTAACGGGACGGAGGTAGTAGTAATTATAATAATTACTCCCTCCGTCCCACTAAGATTGTCCGAAACAATATTCACTTGGTCAACACAAATCAATCTTAATCTCTTACTATATATATCAAAACTTTATCAAATTTGATTCTGGTTTTTGCGACTTTGTAAAGTTTTTAATGCAGTTTCTGAATAAGTAATTTTTTTTCCTAAAAATAATTTGAGTGTGGACAAGGATCTGTTTGTTTTTCGTCGGTCAAGCATCGTAAACCGAATTGTCCTAAACATTAGGGGTGGGCGCGGTCCGGGTAATTGAAAAAATTTCAAGAACACTTGGTTCCATTTAACAGGTAGGTTAAGTTCGAGAATACCAAATCTCGAAATGGGAACCGGACCTTACCCGCCCTGTTTGAAACGGGCCGGTTCGGTTCGAGTTCTCGGTTCTTTATTTTTTGTAAAAAAAAAACCGGCTATGCTAGCAAAGTTTCTAGTAAGTTGTAAAATTCGCAAACTAATTAAGTATTAATGTAACCATAATATAGTAAAAAATCCAAATAAAAATGTAAAACAACACTTTGAATTAGTTAACAAAATATTTAACAACAAATATATAAATTGGGCAGCACACAACCACCTAAATTAAAATTTTAATCATTATTCATAAACTAAAAAATAGTACTATAAAGTCACAAGAAATTAAACTAGTTATTATACATATTTGTCTATGAAAACAATATAAAACATATTAAATATTAAAATATAAGTAAACGTAATAGAATAAAACAAATATGTCACACTTCATTATGTAAGAGTCTTTGTTTACAATAAAATATTAAAAAAAAGTTTGATGCATTTGCAATAGAGATTTAAGCACAAAAATTTAGGAGCTTAAATGGACTTAGAAACTCTTCTTTTTAACAGACTGACCAATTTCTTTAATTGAAAGTCTTTGTCTGAACATGAAGATCTTCTATGTGTTGTTAGTACATTATATTAAATATGATAGAATTTATTAAAATAATATCTTAAAATGGTTCGGTTCGAGTACCCGTTATTTCAAATTTTAGGACCCGTTCTGTTCTTAAGTTTTTAAGGACCCGCCCCGCCTCGAACCGTTTGGGTTTTCTAAATTTAGGACCCGACCCTAACCCATCCCGAACCTTTATTACCCGGCCCGACCCGCGGTTCCTGTAGCCGTTTGCCCACCCCTACTAAACATAGTGGGATGGAAGTAGTATAATATAATAACTATAATAATAATGATGATGATGATGATGATGATGATGATACTTACGATAAACTATTGAATGAAATGCTTGAAGAAAAACGGGAAAGAAAGAAAAGCAGAATACATAAAAAGAGAGGAGAGGGAGAAAAGATATTTTGGTTTTGGGAGATATAAGGAACAAAGAAAAAATAAAACGGATCCACTCATCCACCTACCTTTTGGCTTTTGATAGCTCTTCTATAGTGTGAAGTAATGGGGAGAAACTGTACATAAAATTAATTCTTTTCATCATACATTTCTTTCTTCCACTTTTTATTTCTCTCAAACTCTATCTGCTTTCTTTCCCACTTATTCATTTGTCCCCTTGACCAAACAAAGCCTCAAGTACTAAGCAAGTGAAAATCCTTACGGAGTGTAAAACATCTTCCTGTGCAAAAAGTTCCATAATTCTTTGCATGGTGTGGAAAAGAACCAACTTTGTTTATTTTCCCGGATTTTGTATATTAAACATAATATAATCTAAATAAAAGACTCGCACGAATGCTTACTTGTATCTCTGGAATCATTCCTGTATTAAAAGCAAACACTAGGTTGCCAACTGCACCAATAGTTGTAAATATTTTGCCTATTTTTGTTCCCAGGATGTTATAGTCTCTAGGAGGAGCATTTACACCTATAAGATCAAAGAAAAGATTGCACAAATCTTAAAAAAAGCTGAAGCAATTGCTATAATACTAGATCCAAGATTAAAAGAATAAAGGGAAACTAAAGATATGGACTTCCATGAACAATGTTTGGTATAAATATTATTTTTTGAAATTGATTTTATCCCTACAGTATTAAAGATAAATTTACAAACAACTTGTGTATTCACTCATCCATACCATATGGCAATTCGGTACACAGAAAGGTAGAGAGCATTCTAAAACATACATGCTTCCAATTAATGGTTTTGAAAGTTTTCAAGGGAAAACGGGGTCCATACCATCTTTGATAGACAGCACAAATGTGGCAAGAAGGTAGACTGAACTAAGAAAAGCGGAAACCCCAAGCCAGATCCTAAGTGCTGATAAATGAGGTATAGCAATAGCAAAGAGGAGACATGCCACTCCAGCTATTACAATGAAGTAAGGAAGCTTCATCACATGGTCGTCTCTAAAGAGAACATAAAAGGCCTGGAAATCATAATTGAAAAAAAGTGTAGGGAATCAAAACAAAACTCAGGGAAAGCCACCTTCTATTCATCTACTTAGATAAATCAAAGGCTTTGACATCCATATTTTGAAGGCCCGCTCAATATACAGTTCCTGGATTTATTCTGATAAAGCCTATTTAACAGATCATAAGGCTTTTCATTTTCTTATTTTGCTGACAAACACTTCAGCTTTTGCGAAACATACCAAATTTACTTTTGCCAACCAAACGGATGCTTAGAATTATGCGCCAAAAAAGTTGCCATGGAAGTAGACAATGAAAAACCTATTCATCTTGGTTGGATTGATTTGGTGGTTGGGTCAGTATTTGAATGACTCAAAGTTTAGATAAACCCACTTTTTAGATGAAGGGAATTCACCCATGGTGTCATGTTCAAATTGCCCACAAATTTTAATTCCAAATGTGGGTGTATCATGTGATAGTTGAGAGTGAGATCCAAACAAGAATTTAGAGGATGTACTTCATTTCCTTTATCTTTATCATATTCTCATGTTTTTCACTCAAGTTATTCTTCCTCTCATCCTCTGTGTTCCATCTATTTCAAGTATGTACTTATTTATTTGTGGGGAGGGGGTTGATCTAGACTCAGTCATTCTCTTGAAGAATGATTTTGACTTTCCCTGGACATCTTCCTTAGCCTTACCATTTCTAATGGTATTTGCATGTTTCTAATAATAATAAATATTGTTCTTTTTTTTCGATGGGGGGTGGGGGTGGGGGGGGGGTATATCTTACCTTTAAGGCCTGGCCACCAAGAATAAGATACCCAGTGTTAACCATGAATAGATTTGCATACTGTATTGCCCAAATAAGTGAATAAGCAGTTGGACCTGCAACAATCAGGATCTGATTTCACCAACCGAAAAAAGTTAAAGGCTAGCCACTTGTTCTGATTATTCTGTTTGATGTGCTGATAAGCATAATAATCTGATCAATCACGCCAAATGGTGTTATTATTTTTCATGTTACCACATACCATATATAAAGCCTGCAAGGTCTCTATATCTGATATGCCTCTTTCCTCCAAGTTCATGAAGCTTAGCTATAAGCGTACTAGCATATAATGATATGGCGGTGGATAGGATCAACCCAACCACACCGCCTACCCAACCTAGTGGGACCATAATAGCTCCAGCATACCCTAGAGCATACGCACTGTTGATTCCCGTACTTAGAACAACTCCAACTTGAAACCATGAATCTGATATTTTGGCAAAAACCGACAAAAGAAGAGAAATAAGTGAACAGAATTTGAAACAAGTAATAAAATTTTGCACTAACTCATGAAAAAAAAGTTAAAATGTTTGATATTTAAGCCGTTCATAGGCAAAATCAATTTGCTAATATCATCAGGTAGGCTTTTCTTGGAGAAAAATAATTAAAATAACTATGATCAGACTTTAAATAATAAACAAGCCTAACAAGTCTAAACAACATATAATAACAGCTCATTTGTATTATCGGTTTAAACTTAAAACTCAGACAATTCTCGGTGAGTGTAATTTAACAATTCACAGCTATCTTCATCAGAAGCTGAGGTGATCATATACGCTTTCTGATAATAAATTACTGAAAGAATTGACAAAGAAATAAAATTTGCAAACAGACTAGACACTTCCCAAGACTGTTTATAGGATACTCATATAGAGTGGTGCCCTGTCCAGATCTCCTAAACTGGTGAAAGAATATTAGAAAACACAAATTTCCGAAACAAACAGATCTTTAAACCTATAGGGTAAACAGGGAAACCTTGAACAAATGTAACTATCAGATACTGTGAAAAGTGTGTCAGATCAATTATCACCATATATCACAAGCTTCAAGGCATGGTATAAAGATTGAATGGGCATACTACCAGGATGCTCGTGCGGCGTACGACCCGTAGGACTTCTTTCTAATGTGTCCTGAACACATGATTATGATTTCTTCATCTACAGTTGCTCTTGAACGGCTTCATATTCATGCCTAGCATCATCTATCACGACTACCGGCCTAACGGTAACAATAACCCTCGGCCTGGCTCGTAATCCGGGTTTTTTTTGGACATAACTGTCCATGGCAGGAACACCTAGTGGGCTGCCGGAAGTCACCCGGAAAACCTCTGGGCTGTGAGAGTGAGGACTCCGCCTTTCGTTAGGCGTGTCGTCCTGGAGACGATGAGGTAGGCTCCCCAGTACCTTGGGGCCCTAGCCATGAGTGGCAATGCCACATAGCGCCGAGCGCAGGCCCGTGCCTTATGTAAGGGTAGAGAGGCCCAATTTTGTTTTGCGAAGAACAAACCAGCCCCGTATGCGATTCTGCAAGCTTGCGAAGGAGACAAGGAAAGCTGCCGAAGAGGTGGCTGAGGCGTACTGCTATTTGTCTGGATTCTCTGCTCACAGCTCACGAATGATTGTCTGAAGTCTGATTGTCTGAACCAGAAGTGTTTTTCCGGCTCATGCCTCCGGGCTCCTGGCTTCTCCCTCTCCGTTCAATTTGTTTTTTATTGTGTACGGAGTATTCCTTAGGCTTTACGGGCCAAAAGAGAGATTTCTCAAATTGAAACATGTTTTTATTCTCGACTAAAAAATTGTTGTATTATTATAAATTAAATATGTGTTGTAATACTATAAATTAAATATAAAATAATTTTTTAATTATGGTAATATTTTTCAATCATGAGAGTAAAAATTCATATTTCTATAAAGATACACATATAGTAGTCCACAGATTTTTGTTGTTCACCAATCTTTGCTCTTTTAGTTATTTTTTAGTTATTTAGTTATTTTTTGAGGAAAGGTTCAATTGAGTACGTCAACTTGTATGAAGTGGAGTAAAGAGTACAATATGTTGGATTTTGACATAAGAAAGTACATAAACTAGGTTTTTAGTGTTGATTGAATGCACTCGTTAGATTAACACGTTAATATGACTGATTTGGCTAATTATGGCTGAGTAGAAGGGGTAATCGACTAAGATTATGGCGTCGACCTTCAGGAAGTCGACCAAAAAATGAAAGTCGGTCTTATATTTTCAGAAATTTTCTAACTTTATATTGATTTGCTAAATGTTAATGTGATGTATAATTGATTGAAAAATGATATTTGTACTCACTCTATACTCACTTTTATACTCACCACCAATGTGAGATGTTTTTTTGTCTGTGAATCGTGTCCACAGACAAAACATATTTTATTTTATATGTGCAGATTTACACAAACAAAATAAGACATGTTTTGTGTGTGAATGAGATTCACAGACAAAAAAGTCATTCACATTGGTGGGTATAACTGTGTATAAGAGTGAGTAGAAATAGCAAGACTGTAATTGATTTGTCACGTGTGAATGCATAATGGGTTAATGTGTAAACTTTTAAATGCTACTTGATTCTTGTTTTTTAATTAGATTGAATGAATTAGCTATGTTATCAATTGATAGACATAGGTAATGCAGACTTGATTAATACTTTTGCATCTGAGAATTCTATGAATTAGTTCTTTACTAATTCAATGTCATTTCATTTAATGTAAGACTTTTATTTAAGAATTTCTTTTCTGTGATATTTAGTCATTAAATTTTAATGACTAAATCGTGACACACAAATGCTACATAATATGTATAAGGCCCATTTTATGAAGCTCGACTCACATTCGAATTTAGGTAGGATCGACACTGGTCCAACAGCATAGACGATACTAGAGTATAGTCCTTGACATGACACTTAAATCGCGAGAGACTAGACCGGAAAACCGGACTGGTTGGTCCAAATCAGGCCCGAACTGGATAGATACCGGTCCGGTCTTCGGTCCAAGGGCTTTACCGGTTTCGGTCTGGTCCAAAACCCGGAATATTCCGGATCGGACCAATTATATGTATGTATGTGTGTGTGTATAATCTCTCTCTCTCTATCTTTATATATATATATATATATTAAGCATATATACACACAAACACTTACATAGAGAAAGCGGCGCTAAGTAAAGAAAGTTCAATAGAAAAGTTTGTTTGCATAAAGAAGTCAAATTCTGAATATCATCTTCAAGATAAGAACTCATAAAAGAATAATAATTAAGCTACTGAAAATGAAATGATTCAGAATATTTACATTATTGGATGGAAAATTTAGGAGTTGAAAATAATAGAGTTAATTCGATAATAAGGATCATTATTTTCTTCCTAAATAAGGATCATTAAGGATGTTTTTACTTGGACTGTAATTTGTCCCAGACCAGACCAGACCAGACCAGACCAGTCCAGATTAGACCAGACCAGTTCAGACCAGACCAGACCAGACCAGACTTGGATAGTTATAAAAATACAAAGAAACCAGACCTTACCAGACCAGACCAGTTCAGACCAGACCAGACCAGCAAATTACAGTCCAAGTAAAAACATCCTAATACTATAACACGATTGGTTTAAACATAATAGAGTTTTACAATTTTTTATAAATTCCTCTAAGTATTACTAGTATTAGTATGCATGTCATTTTGTAACATGAGGCCCCTTTTAATTTTCTGCCTTCAGCCTCCCGGCATATAGGGCAGCAATGTTGAAAGGACAATAATTTCATAACCGAAAGACCAATGGAATGAAAAAGTAGAAATGAAGATCACCCACCATTGCTGACTTGATGAACAGTATCTGGAATTTCAATAGCCACCTCGCCGTCGCCATGGGAGCTCCCAGGACCACCTTCGTCTCTGATACCCATCACCGCCCTGTCTTCTTCTTCTTCCGCCGCCCCTGCAGCTGCTATTTAAACCCAGCGAATCTAAACCAGCCAGATATATACAATGATGAAGATACCCTGCAACTACGGACTCGGAATATATAAATGCAAAATGGAAGCTTTTAGGCCAGTCGTTTTGTTCTCGTATAGTCAACGCTATCATTGCATTTCCACCTGGATAGGGTATTCATTCTTTCAAACTTTTACGTTGTTTGTTTCTATTGTTCGTTTGGCGTGACCCAGTGCCACGGGTATGCTCAATAGTCAATACCATCTTCACTCTTCGTTCTTCAATAGAGGAATTGGCTGGTCTGGACTCTGGATTTGGCTCTAGATATTTCATGTGAAGTGGTTTGAGATTTTAAACCATATTAGAATGGAGCAAGTTAGATCATCATACTTGAGCAAATCAGATTAAACTTCTTTGGTTCTTTGCACATTAAAATTTTATATGTAAACTGATTACAAATAAGGGCGTAACCATTTTGCACGTAAAGTGATTGTATGTGAACTTAGGGAAGTAAACAGTTTATATGCAATTTTACATGTAAAATTCCTGACCAGAAGACTACTGGTTATATAGGGAGGTAAGCATTTTGCACATAAACATGGAAGTATTTTCTAAACTTAACAGTAATTACTCTTATTTAGGGATTAGAGAATAAAAACGTGACCATCAGATAATCTCATTCATGCCATTGAAAATAATGGTAAAAAGCCTCGTTCATTTGACGTATCGGTTGCTAATCAAAATTAAAGTATTGTTTAATAAGGTGTTTTATTTAAATTCTATTGTTTTTTATTAATATATTCATGAGAAAATAACACTACCGAATTGGCCAACGTGAAAAGTAGACTGATGCGTTTATTTAAGAATGGAGAAATTATGGTTTATGTGCTAATGTGCCCCCTTCAAGGTCCCCGAGCTGGTTCCGCCACTGCAGCTAATCGTTAGAATTCATGATTATGAACATAGGTTGATACGAGGGAGGCGCGATATTGTAATTCAATTCTGTTTTTTTATTGTAATTCAATTCACTTGTTAACGAAATTAATAAACTTATTTATATGTTCTTGTCATCTTCGATTCTTTTCTTGCCATCTTTATTAATTTATATGATCGAGGCTAGTCCAGTACAATACAATGGTCAAGAAGTTGGAGACTGCATTTGCTACTAGTCAAGAATCAATGACAATTTAACACCGAAATACTTTGTAATACGGATTTGTAATTGAATATTTTATATCCATTTTGTTTTTTAAGCCCCTGTTTGGTTCAAAAGAGGGGAGGGAAGGGGAGAGTATAAGAGGAAAGGTGAGGGAAGGAGAAGGAAGAAATTTAACAACAACTTTTGTTTGGTCGGAGGAAAAGGGAGGAAGGTTTAATAAAATAAATTTCATAATTTACCCTTGTTTGATAAGTGATAACTAGCTTATTTTGCAAAGATAGATAAATGCTACATACTACCTCCGTCCCCCTAAGTTTGGGACAAGAGAAGGTGGCACGGTTATTAATAAAAGTGAGTTTATGTGGTTGGTATTGAATTGATAAAGTAAGAATAAAGTAGGAATGATTTAGAACCACACAAACGTTACCAAATAAGGTATGAGACAATCTTAGTGGGACGGACCGAAATGGTAAAATGGGACAATCATAGCGGGACGGAGGGAGTAGTACGTAGTAGTATATCAGTATATACTCCGTACTACGTAGTACTAGCAAAGTTCATAATTCGTAATATATGAAGAGTCCGTTTGGTAGTACCCAAATCGGCTGTATTGGCTGATTATGCTGAAATTTATGAACTTTTTGGCGAAGCGGCTGGATTGACTAATTCTGCTGATTTATGGAGAAAAAATTTATCAATAAAATAAAATTATACTCCGTGAAAAAATAGATTAAATAATTCTCTACGGTAACTTCAGCCAATACAACTAGTAATTTCAAAAGTGTTGTGTTTAGTAAAAACGTTGGCTTATAAACCTGTAAGCCAAAAATAAGTGAAATCATTGGCAATCAAATGACTAATTATTTATTTTCAATGGTTGAAATTGTTTATTAAAAACTTCTTGATACTCCGTATAAATATTAAAGCATTGTGGGTTACAAAGAAAAGAAAAATATTAAAGCATTGTAGAAAGTGTAGTGCGTAGTACAAGTACTAAGGCTTTGTTTGCAACCACTTGTGCTTAAAGAAAAGCACTTTTGGAGAAAAAGTGATTATTAGTAAAAGTTGGTAGTGTTTGGTAAAATAAGTGTTTTTTTTGTAATAGAAAAAGTAAAAAGTAGATTCTACACGGAAGCCGGGATAGTAAAAGTTGGCAGTGTTTAGTAAAATAAGTGCTTTTTTCTTTAAAAAAAAGTTAAAAACACTTTTTTAATGGATTGCAAATAGATCCTAAGCCCCTAAGGAGTATTACTTTTTATACGCATAGGTTAGATCTTGAGTGAATTAGGTTGAATTGTTCAGGGCATGTCTTTGATCTTCCTTGAAATGTCCCGAATCGGGGGACTAAAAATGGGGGATAATGGGGGATTTTAAAGTCCTCGAGGTTCCTTCCCTTCCTTCCAAAATCTTCCAACCAAACAAACATCCATCCTCTATTATCTTTCCCTTCCTCCCAAAATCCTCCAACCAATCGAGCCCTAAAGTAATTTGAGTTCTATAACGAATGGTTAATCTCTTACAAGGTCTGGAGGCTTATTGTGGAATTGTACACACTATAGTGAACATATAAGAAGTTCCCCTAAATGGAATTTTAAAAACTCTAAGGGCTCGTTTGGAATTGAAGTTTACAAGTTAAATCTTTGCACGCGAAATGATTGCATGTAAAGTTTAGGGTAGCAATTATTTTGCATGTAAAATAGATTACATTGTTTGGCTAAATGTGTAATTTATTTTTAAATTGCATGTAAAGCCGTTGTAGTGCTTCATAAAAGACAATAAAGTATTTTACCACCTTCCCTCCATATAAAATACTTTACATGTTACAATGTGAAATGATTTAAAAAAGTGTCATATAGTATACATTAAATAATCAAACCAAATAGTGTAAACATTTTACGTTCTTACACTTCGCATGCAAAGTATTTATTTTGCATCCTACCAAACGCCTTCTAAAATTGGGGTATGTTTTTCCCTAACCATCATGAGTAAGGACTATTTACTCTCATATTTAGAAAATACGGGTACTTATGGCAGTAATAGAATCATATTAATGTCTGATATTGGAAAATATAGTATTATAATTTTAAAAATGGTAGTAAGTTATTTTATTTAGGGAAAAACATAACATATTACTCCCTTTTTAGAAATTCTCATTGTTTTTACTCCTATTTCTGAAAATTCCTCTACACGCATAGTAATATTCTAACAAATAATGGTAAAAAAGAGTCTCTTATTATCAGTGTTCTAAAAGGCGCCAAAAGGCACCACAAAGGCAGGCCTAGGAGCATGGCGTGGTTAAACGCCTCACATGCTTGTGATGCGCGGAAAAAGGCGGACTAAACTAGCCCAATCCATTAAAATTTTTATTTTAACTTGAATATGGGTTGTAACGAGGAAATCCATGCATGTGCGGATTAAACTCGGGTTAAACCTTGCTAAAGTTGTCAAAACAATGACCCCATTAAGATGTTTTACTTGAACTGAAAATTTTCGGGTCATGTCTAATCTGGTAAATATCTGACCTTTGTTTATTTTATAAATATCCAAATCTGGTCTGGCCTTGTATGAACTAAAAACAGTCCAAGTAAAAACATGAATGAGTGAAAGAAGAGTCATTTGTGTTTTTCTAATAAGGGATAACTCGTGAAGCCATAAGAGACAACACCAGCTATGTTAACATTGACAAATAACTAATTTTTTTAACATCATTATTATTATTGTCATTGTTGGTGTTATTACACCATTATTTTTATTAGAAATAATTACAAATATATAACTAAAATAAAATTAAGTAGTGGACAAAAATGTGACATTGATAACTTTCGTGACTATAATTGTATTGAAATCTTACATCGTAGTGACTATAAAACTTACACATAGTAAGTTAATAACATTTTTATCCATAGATTTTATATTAGTAATATTTTAGGAAAAACTTCTTATTATTGTTATTGTTGTTACTACTTTGTCTACTACTATTATTAATACAATTATTGTTTGTAAACCATTTTTTTTATCAAGGAACAATCCTACCAATTATTGCTTTGGTATACGGAGTAATAGGTTATGTATGGTTTTTAGAACTCGAGAACCTTAATTGTTTGTATATGTAAAAGTGTGTATAATATTTCCCAATATTACATTACATATTTACTCACTGCTCTATGAAAATTAAAATACTCCCTCTGCTTCTTAATTAAGTTTCTAGTTTGACTTCACACATATTAAGAAATAAATTTGACTTTACTGTGGAATTCACTGTTTGAACACTGTTTGGCACTATTTGAACACTGTTTGGCACTGTTTGGCACTGTTAAGTCTGTTTTGGTGTAAATCATTTTCCAAATAAGGAAAGGTTTGAAGTAGGAACTTTAATATGGATCATTCCAAAAAGGAAAGTAGGAATTTAATTACAGGACAGAGGAAGTATATAGTAAAAAAACTAAAACGTGTTTTCACGCCTTTACCACGCCTAAACCTGCCAAGACTTCACAGGCTTAAGGCTTGATTTTCCCTTCTCGTCACGCCTTGCACCTTTTAGCACACTGTTTATCATGAGTAACGGGAAAGTTAGACCACTATGTGTGATGGCCTCCCAAAAGCCCTTAATTTCCATCATGGGTGGGGAAGACGTAACTCATATTGTATACACTACTTAGGGTCTGTTTGCAACAGCTTCTGCTTTAAAAAAGTGTTTTTTTAATGAAATGGGGAAGTGATTAAATAAAAGTTGATAGTGTTTGAGAAAAAAGTGATTTTGAAAAGTAAAAGTTGATAGTGTTTGGTAAAATATGTGCTTTTTGTGTAATAGAAAAAGTAAAAGCACTTTTGACACGAAAGCCGAGAAAAATAAAAGTTGTAGTGTTTGGTAAAAGAAGTGCTTTTT